TTACAAGCTTCACAAACAGCTTCCATAAAAGTAAAATCCATGAACTCTTGAGTTTGAAATAAAATCACATAGTACTTTTAAAAAGTTATTCTCATTTTATAGTCATTTGTCAGGTAATCAATTTAAAGGTCTTCTATACTGCCCTTTCAATGTGCAGGTGTAACGCCTATAAACATTAATAGGATTTACATTTCCTATTGACTGGAGACCATACTTTTTAATTTGCTTCTTATTCTTTCAGCGTGTAGGTTACAATGATCTGTTGCAGGGTAAAATATTACAGTATATTTGCAAGTACTTTCAATATTTTGTTTTGTCAACTTTGTCTTAAATTTATTCTAGTTCGAGAAGTGAAACACAAAAGCAACATTTTTATCTCTGTTTCCCAATATGTGCAAAGATAACATGGCACACTCTCTGGATTTTATTTCATAGCTAATACATTTATGGGGACACAAATATGGTTCTTAGTATTGATTACACACCCCAGGGGAAAAAATACTCAGCGGACTAAAATTCTGAAAAGGGAAACTGGGGTCATTCCTGGGGGAGCTGCTCTCTGAGCAACTGTCCAGTAAAACTGGAAAAGGGCAAAATATGAGGAGAGGTGGGGTGGGTGGCCTTCAAAAACAGGTGAGGAAGCAGAAAGCTGCAAACCATACTCCAAGATTTGTGGGTATACAAAAAATAGAAACCCAACAATGTTAGGAAGGAATTTTTTTTTAGAACGTTGAAGATAGAATTTCACCCTACTGCAAGTGGGTATATTGTACATGTCTCTGCTCCCCTGCACCAGTGCTAAAATTGGCCCGGACATCTGGAGGCTACTGCGTTATCCTGATTTTCAAAAGAAAGAAGAAGGAGGAAAAAAAAAAAAAAGGTAGTAGTTCTTCCATATGGAATAAAATCTTCTGTGTTTCAATTGCACTTTTACGTATGCAAGGTTTTCTTTAGGGAGATTGAACTCTAGCCGGTCATTGGGTATAAGAGTGTGTGCTATCAAAATTGTAAAAAGACAACATTCAAACTTCAGCAAGTCCATCACGTGTGTCATGCTAATCACTGTAGAGCTTTCTTCAGACTCCATTAGCAAAATACGCTGGTACAGACCATAAGAGTCTACCAATGGAAATTTACTGAAAGCCGTAACAATTGTACCGTATAACAATTTCAGTCATTTTGAAGCACATTTATTTGACATTGTATACGGTTATTTAAGAGCAGCTGACTTTTCCTTTGGTTCCCAAAGAAAAAATATGCGTTTGCTCGCTCGCTTTCCATCCTTGCCTCAGAGCTTGACTGATCATTTCTTTCATCAGAGGTCATCTGTGCTTCTAAAAATGAAACCTGTGTGGCCAGTGTTTGTTCAGTTGTTGCATATTAGCTCCTCAGTGGTTAAAAAGATCTGAACAAATAAGAGGGCTTACCCTACATTATATTACCCTTTATTAGTAGGAAATTGAAGTCTAGAGATTATTATTAAGCCTCAGCCACTGCAGGCTACCCATACCCTGATAAAGACCCTTCAGACTGACCTCTGATCAAGCCGCATTAGATGGATTTTACCCTTGTTACTAATTAAATAAACAGCTCTGCGGTATTATTCTTCCTCATAGCCGTTTCATGACATCAGCTCTCTGTGGCGCCCACGGACAAAGGGAATCGGGTTCCTATTTGAGATGCGGTGGCGTATTAAGGCCCTGACACTAGGCCATCCGCTGCTCGGCTGCCCTGTTATGTTTAACACACGGGCATATCAAGTGTCCAAGGGCCTTTCGTTGACGTTTGCGGAGAATAAAGGCCAGGTTCTCATTAAAATAGAAACTGCAGATTTCATTTTTTAAGTGGAGGAAAGGCAATCTAATTTCTGCCTTCGTGTACCAGAAAATACAGAAAGAAACAGGTTAATGAAGCTGAGAGGCTGAGGCATCAAAAAAGAGAATATCTGGGTAACTGTGTGCTACCTTTCTATCACCTCACTCAGCTTTTTGTTAGAACTGTATCTTTGCAGATACCTTTTTTTTTTTTTTTGGTATCTTTTTTTCACTTCAAGCTAGGCACATAGTTAAGTCAACGGACCCTTGAAATTTCGTAGTGTTTCAAGTGGAAATTTCATTTTGAAGGGCATAATCTCTGTGCCAGTGTAACCTAAAAGTAAATAAATTCCAAGTAGAGTATTTATTATTTCTTGTGAAGAAGTCATCTCCACTTTAAACAGAGAGAGTTCACTGGAAACAAAATAGAGATGGATCTGGGGTTTATTTTGTTTTTCTGATTTTGACTGTAAGGAAGAAGCCCTAGAGTTTACACAGTGTTACAGTCAGATCAGAAGGTCTAGCCTAGATAACAGAAATCCTTGTCACTCATAGGATCACATACAGAATCACCCTGTTGCTCTGCTATAGACTCTACTGCCTTCCAGCCTCGGTTAAGGGGAACATATGAGCAGGAGCTGGAAAAATAGATGTGCGTTTAATCAAAATAAATAATCATCTCTTCTTCCCAACATTGCTGGTTTTGTTTTTCTATCTTTGATGACACGCTGTTAGGGAAAACAGATGGGCTAGGGCCTTTCCAAGCACTGAAGGCCTGACTTCAGCTTCAGTGTTCAGAGGAATAAAATCATAATTTAGATAATTAAGAAGGACCCGTTAGGTTTTTTGTTTGGTCCTTTGACGTAACAGAAGTCTTACAACTTCAGTGAAATGAATGCCACTTGAACTAGCATATTTATTTAAACTAAAAAAAATTGCAATTGAAATGTTAAAATTTCCAGTGAAGAAAAGAATCCACTGAAAATTGTTGGCAATTTGTTTCAGTTGCTGCCTGTCCTCACTGTTAAAAAGAATTGCTTGCACCTCATTTTTCTACTCTGTTGTTTTTCCTAGCTTTAGCTCTCCTTAGTTGTTTCTCTTGTACCTTTTGTGTACAAGTTTACAAACCCCCTACTATCAGTTTTCTGTTCCTCATGTAAGTACGCGTAGCCTGTGCTAAGCGCTCCTTAATAACTTCTAAACAAACGAAATTGCTCGGGTCTGTGATCCTTTTCCAGTCCTTCAATCATTCTCATGGCTTTTCTCTAAACCACCTGTTTGTTACACCCCCATCAGCAGCATACCCTCACTGTGATACCACAGTGCGGCTCGCAGGCAAACATCCCTGTGTCCCGGCAGATTAGGTAGCCCAAAGGTTTTGAGCCCGTGCTAATGTGACTGGTTGCCTGTTTTCACCTCTCTGCCGTTGCTGTGCGTGCGTAGGTCTGAGATCCTCGAGCAGGAGGACCTGGCTCTGCCTTGGTGCCGAGGAGTTTGCACATTGCTGTCGCCCACCTTCACGCCTCCCTTTGGGGTAGCATGCGCATGGATCTCAGCCCTTAAATTTACAAGACCACAAAACCTATTTTTCAATATGCAGCTGGCACCACGTGGGAGTGGAAATGGTTTCAATTTCTCTGTGAAAGATGAATTTGATGAGAATTTACTAACAATCTATAAATATTTCCAAAACCAGAATCAGTTTTGAAGTTACTCTATTTATTTTACTACTCATCTGTTTCGCAGTAGCTTTTGACAACGTAGGAACTTGAAGTGCAAGACAAATATTGTTGATTGTCAAACTCTATAAATTATCGTTAGCACTGTGTGGGAATTTTTTCTTTGAAGTGCTTTCTAACAGAAAATGAGGTCTTGTGAGAAGTAGAATATTTTGTAGAAAAGTTAATTTAGATCAATCTTTTTTTTGTGGGAGAATGGATTATAAACAGTAAGCTTGATTTCACTTTCAGTATTTCTCTGAAACAAATAGGTTTTGTTTGTTGATTTTTTGTTATCATTTTTATCATGTATGTAATTTATTACAGCAAAAGAAAGAAAAGAAACTTTAATTTTATAAAAGCAAAATTTATATCAATGCTGCATAAACTTTTAAATTTTTTTTTATTTTCCCTTTTGCAGCAGAAAGTTTTAAAAATCCTGTAAAATCCTATCCCTGGAAATCTTTATTTGCTTGTGCTGTGGACGTTTTGACTTGCACTTTTGCTCGAGGCTAGAGCTGGGCCGTGAAACTTGTTTTCACAACCTGCTAGGTTGGGAAAACTGAACACGGGAAGGCAACTAACTCAGATGTGAACAGTTTGGACACTGGAGGGGCAACCTACTCGAGTCTCGCAGTGCAGTGTACCTGAGCCCACGTTCACTCATGGATAGCACTGGACAGATCGTTACAGACTACCTACAGCGGCTACTTGTGCTATCTAGCATACGTATGCAGTGTAGGAAGTTGCTCCTCCTCCGTCTCAGTGCTTACTTCGAGTTTTCACAAGACAAAACAAAATTCAGGTGACAGAGAAGCAATAATTCCTTCCTACAGATAATGTATGGAGAAATTTAGGCTATACTTAAGGTCATGGGAAATCCACAGATAAATTCATGATCAACCCAATTTTAACTCTGTTCTAGTTCCACTTTTTTTTTTAATGCAATTTACAGCCTTTCTCAGTGAGATATATTTACGTATGCATCCTTTGAGGTGAAGCTTGTTTTTTTTTAATTTTTGCTTGTTTGTTCATTCGTTTGTTTTTCCCCTCCTTGCTCCTCCAGTATAATCGTTTCTAGAGAGTCATTCATTCGTAGTAACCAAACCTTGGTATCTGAGATACTGCTGTTATGATTTTTCTGAATATAGGTTGCCCTTTGAATAGCAACTGTCGTAATTAGGTGGTGATAAAAGTGATAAACTGCATGAAAATACCTTCTCTAAAGGCATCACATCCTAACAAGGATCATGAGCATATATTTTTTCCTAGCCTAAAACTGAGCACATAGATTATCTCGGAATAGTACATAAATTCTTGCTGTGTTATACAGTGTCATAGTATAATGTCACACTGTTTATACTTACATTGCATAAATGTCACACTCTGTCACAGAAGAGAAAAAAAGTGGCCTTGTCCCAGAGCAGCATGTACTTCCCCCCCCCCCAACTTTTTTTTTTTCTTTCAGTGGAGAATGAAGAAAATCCTGAACCCGGTGACCTTGCAGCCTCCGAGGAATGCGCATGCATGACGCATCCTGCATTCTGATACTGCGAAGTTCAGTGCCCTCCATGTAAATCTCTGCTTAAAATACAGCAGCGTCGTTAGTTGGTATGACTGATGAAACGTTGCAAAGCCAGAATGAATCACAACAAGGTAGTTACAAGGGATGGGAGAATGTAAATAAATCAAAGCGGAGATACTAAAGCGGTCTTTTAACCATAACATTTCTCAGAAAGTGAAAGGTGGGGGGAAATGTCGGAATTGTTTTTCTAAGTTTTCTGTGTGTCACTTGTTAAGCTATTCTCCAAGAAATTCTTAGGGGATAGGATGTGCTGTTTGAGAAAACTCAGTGGCACGCTTTTGCGTCTCACTTTAGGGATCTGCTCAAACTTTCTTTTACACCTTTCAAGGTGTTCGCTGTACACCTTGAGAGAGGGAGAAATCTCTCTATCCGTTTTCCTGAGATCTGCTCCTAGGAATGGCATGTACCAGAAAGAAGAATTAATCCTTTGTGTATAATTGCAGGCATTCTGGTTAGCATGAAAGAAATGGTTTGTTCGGTTTTGGACGTGTATTTTTTGATTTGAGCCAATCCCTAATCCAGGAGGGAGCTTACCGAAGCTCTTTAGATGGCTTTGATTCCTAGTTTTGTATTATTTGTTTGAGGTCTTGTCTTGCTTAACCGCTCCACTTCAGAAAGTACAAGGTATAACGAAAGTGGCTGGTCACAAAACCACACGTTTATAGCAGTTACTTTAATGTATGGTTCATTTTACTTATCTGCGTATCTCAAAAGTAACAGCAGTTCCAAGAATGCAATTTCCTATCCTCTCTTCTAAGGCTATGGCAAATCGATAACTGTCTTAAATTTCCTTTTTCTTTTTAGCTTATTTGAGAACCTATATTTAAATTTAGCAGATACACTTAAAGCTATAGGACTTTGCTATAAAAGCAGATGTTTGTTGTTTTGTGCGTATATATGCATGTGTCAGCAGGGAGCACGCAGCAGGTGGTTGGGAAGGATGTTTCGATAGCTTCAGTAGCTTAAACTTTGTGTTCTCCTTATCTCTGCCTGGATGGCAGACTTTTGCTTTTATCTGTTTTCTCATGTAACGATGGCTTTTGCCATCTGTTAATTTATGTCTGTTCCCAGCTAAGTCATTTGGAGAAAGAATTTGAATCTACTAGTGTTACTTAAGTTGTAGGAGGAATACAAAGAAAGAGAAATTTCATCAGTTGTGTTCCTTTTCACTTCCCTGCAGAGAGTTTCTTTATGGTTTCTTCCTTATAGGAAGTTTTCAGCAATTCTATTACAGATTTTTAGCTCTTTGGAACAATTATGAAGTAAAATTTTATCTACTGTAAATGCAAAGAATAGACTTTCCAGAAATGCTTATTTAGGTCTCCCTTCCAATGTCAAAAGCTGATTTTGAACCATGAAGCTTAAAAAGTCTGCGGATTTTTATATGATGTTTTCTGTTACCGGGATGTGGTTAACAAGATGCTTGAATAATAAAAGAACTTAATATATATATACTGTACAAAAACTAAGAGTTAGTTTGTGATCCTGAAGAATACCGTATGTTTTGAATTTAGCTGACTGTAACGGTTTGTACTTTCCCTGTTTCATTTATGTATTGTATTGGCCTTCCTTGCTGCATTAATACTTCATAGGCACATACAGTATATGGTGATTGACAGCTGTTCTAAGGCCCTGATTCAGGAAAGCATTGTGGTGCATGCTGATTCCTACTCTAATCAAAGTCAAATACGTTAAAGCACTGCCTTGAATGGAGTAAAGCATGTGAAGCATGTTTTTGAATACCTACCTGAATTAAGGTCTAAATAATCCTCCTTCAAGGTGAACAAAATATATTCCTCACTCTTTTAATTGTAAAAAAATGAGATAGCTAGCCTCTGCCATTTTGTTTCTTAGCGGCTACATTTGATTCATACCAAAAAACTGTCCTAAAAAGTATCACCATTGGAAAGAGGGTAAAGCACTGGGCCTTTGGTGAGTCCCGAACAAAACACAAGCAGGAGCATTAAAAAAGAATGACTTTCTCAATGAAGTTGCTATGGAAATGTCAATAAGCAGACAAACAAATTAAATGATCTGGTCAGGACTTTTTGTTTCTGCTCTTCTTTCCTCGTATGAGAAAGTACAGGAAGGAATATGTTCAGATAATGTGGGAAGGAACATATTCCAGAAGTCCTAACGTTGCACCAGTGACTGTCCAAACTTGAGTATCTTGTAAAAATACAATTAGATCGGTAGGTCTGTCATGGAAGGTCTGTCTTGAAGTGAGAGACTGAAAACCAGTGGTGTCCATTTAGAAACCATACCACAGTGGAAACCCTCCTGCCCCAGGCTGCCTGAGAATAAGCAGTACTGGAGGATGCTCAGGAGCAATGCTCAGGTCTGATCGCACCGCTGTGGCAGCAGGCCTTTATTTTTGGTGTGCCAGCGATGCCCAGCCTGTTGTGTTTTAATTGCTGGCAGTGACTGCCCTTTTGTTTTTATGTATTCCCTCTCTCAGTGTGCCTTCCATTCTGGTTTGTTGGCAGCTCTGAAATGCTCATAGTTCCAGCAGTGATTGCTTTCATAAGAGTCATGAGAGAGTGCACCTCTAATATTACCCGCACTGTAGGTAGAAAGCAATAGTTATCGTTGGCAGTATGCCTGTGAATAGAAAGTGACATTTTAAATGGACACTACTGGTGCATCAAGCAGATGAAATTAAAGGGAGACTGTGACAGCTAATGAAAGGTTGGTATGGGAAATGTCCCGGGTGAATTTGTTGTTTACAGGCAAGTATACCTGATTGGATGGAGATACAGCTGAGTGCAATTCACAGTGGGAACAAGGAGATATCGCGTGACAAATGCAGCTCTCCCAGGGTAGAGTTAGTTAGTCCTTGCTTGGGGAGATTCATAGGTTAAGCAATATCATCTGAAGTGCCATCATCAATGACTGAAGGTTTTTGGCTGCCAAAGAAATTTTTGCTGCTTCATGCGGGGAAAACAGCCTTTTGCAGGTCATTTCCAGATGTTAATAAAATAATGCGCAGAGGCACAGAAAGCGGCTTAAAAGCAAACAGAATCAATCTAGCATCCTTCCTTCACGAGAGAGGTAAAAAGGCCAGCATAATAATCTGTCTGATATGCATACAGTTAGTTAAGGCTAGTTAGTTGCATTTACACAATGCATATCTCATGCTAGTGATTGCTCAAAGTGATTTTTGGAAAATGTCTGTGTATAAGCATTACCGGAACTACATGGGTACTGTAGTACTGCAGCAAAGTCTGTGTGCCAAGTTTTAGTCCCCATGAGGTGCGCAGGGCTTTAAACATTGGCTTCAGTGTGACCATGAATTGGATTAAATTTACTCTCCAGGGATACACTGCTTAATCGAGCAACGTCCTGCCTGGCTAGTGCACTCAGTCTTGAACAAAGCTATTTTGCAGCTATTTGATAAAATTTAATTTTGAGAAAAGTCAGAAAACATCAATATCAAAACTTTAAATAAACATTTTTTTTTAATGTAGACCACCTAATTTTATTGTTTAGACTTCTCAAGCAGAAGATTCATTTTAGGTCTGTATTTTTGGGCATACTTCCATTTATACACCGTCTTGGATCGCTGTTCAAACAGAAAGAACAAAAGGCAGGGTTTTCAAAAATTTTTAGTACAGCTGGCATCTCAGAACTGGTTCCAAGCCAAGGTCTCCAACTCACAGATCCAAGCTGGACCTACAAAGGCATTTACCAAATGTTAGGAATGAAGACTAGGTGTGCTCTAGCATTTTAAAATGCTAAAATAAACAACATTATGGTTTTTGAGTTTTCTAAAATTGTGTGCGAAGAAGGGAGGCACGAGCTAAAAATTGCATGTGAATATTATCGGGTGAGTGTGTACGTATGCATGTGTATTTAAAACTGTTTGTTATTAGTTTGCAGATAGGGATCCTGAAAAGAAAACTGAAGCAATCAGAGTAATTAACTACTTTTTATTCTCACTAGGAAAATCTAGAATAGTTTTAGATGCAGAACTTTGCCATTTCTTTATACAGTGGACTAAGCCAGATAGGTGATTCAGCAGTGATGTTTTTGCTGGCAGCTGGCTGGTCATTCTTCAGTGGAGCTGCAGGGCCTGCAGATGTTGAACTGTTGGGATTCTACAGAGTTTCTAAAAAATATTACTCAGATAAAATCCATATCCATGGCCTGCTAAGAATCCTGCATGGCGGTATTCACTATTGATTCAAGTTTTGAATATTAATGTGTTAGTGGCAACTGTGGGAAGCTACTGAAGAAGAGATAATGATGTAAAAAGCTAATGAAAAATAGCTATTGCTAATAGAGATGATTGTTTCTAGGCATGATGTGAAAGTAATTGCAGGTGTGTTCTTATTTTCAAGCAGCTTCATCCTTCTCAACAGGGACTCTTCGCTGCTGAATTATTTAGGATTACATTGTTGTGATTGAACAGAGTTCAAATTTAGAAACGTAGCAGCCAACAAAAAAGAGAAACTGGAACTGCAGAATAAATAAAGTTTTGCGACTTCAGTGAGTTCTCATCCTATCTCTTGCCTCTGCTTGTGCCACTTATCAGCACGGTCAGAGCTTGAGAGGCACTGCGGAGGGTGACGAATTAGTTGTCGGCCCTGCAGCTGGCTCCCCCTGCAAAGGGCAGGTGCTGAGGCTGCCTCTCCTAGGCACCACGAAGAAATCCCTTCCGGACGTCCTGCAACCTCATCCTTCCCTGCAGAAGTAAGGGAAGGCAGCTCAGCTTGGCCCCAGAAGAGAAAGAGTTAACTGTTCAAAACCCCAGGCTCATTTCTGGGTCAACCACCTGGCCACGGGGCCAGTACCCCAGGGCTGCCCCGAAGGGAAGGAAATCCCAGCTCTCTGGGAATGCAAGGTTGTAGGAAGAGATTTAGGGATATGTTTGTGGGAGAAGCAGAGATGGGCTGGAGGACCCAATTTTTTTCATGGTGCTTGATGTTGGAGAGGCACAGGATGACATTAAGCCTGTAAACACGAAGGTTCATACCTGAATTCGCGGGTGCCCTGGTGACAAAGGATACAGAGAAGGCAGAGTTATTGAATGCCTTCTTTGCTTCCGTCTTCACTGCTAAGGCCAGTCCTGAGGAATTCCAGACCTTGGAGACAAGAGAGGAAGGCTGGAGAAAGGAAGACTCTCCCTTGGTTGAGGAGGATCGGGTTAGAGATCTTTTGTCCAAACTTGACATCCATAAATCCATGGGCCCCGATGGGATGCACCCCCGAGTGCTGAGGGAGCTGGCGGATGTTATCGCTAGGCCACTCTCCATCATCTTTGAAAGGTCCTGGAGATCAGGAGAGGTGCCTGAGGACTGGAAGAAAGCCAATGTCACGCCAGTCTTCAAAAAGGGCAAGGAGGAGGAGCCAGGAAACTACAGGCCTGTCAGCCTCACCTCCATCCCGGGAAAGGTGATGGAACAGCTCATCCTGGAGGTCATCACTAAGCATCTGGAGGACAAGAAGGTGATCAGGAGTAGTCAGCATGGATTCACCAAAGGGAAATCATGCTTGACCAATCTGATAGCCTTCTATGACAGAATGACTGGCTGGGTAGATGAGGGCAGAGCAGTGGATGTTGTCTACCTGGACTTCAGCAAGGCTTTTGACACTGTCTCCCATCACATCCTCCCAGGTAAGCTCAGGAAGTGTGGGCTAGACGAGTGGACAGTGAGGTGGATTGAGAACTAGCTGGATGGCCGAGCTCAGAGGGTTGTGGTCAG